GCGGGGAGCGCACGGGGAGGAGAAGGAAAAAGAGGAAGAGAAGGGGGAAGAAAGAGGGAGGGGGGGGGGGAAGGGGGAAAAGAGGAGGGGGGGGGAACAAAGGGGAGGGAAGGGGAAAAGAAGGAAAAGGGGGGAGGGGAAGAAAGAGAAGGGGCGCAAGGGGGAGGGGGGAGAAAAGAAAGGGGAAGGGGCAAAGAAACAGGAGGCGAACGGGGGGAGGCGACACAAGGAAAGAGGGGGGAGGGAGGGGCGAGGGGCCAAAGCAAAGAAGACGGGGAAAAGGGAGGGAAAAGCGCAAGGAAGGGGGGGAAGAACAACCAAGGCAAAGGGGAAAGAAGGGGGCGAAGCACAAGAGAACGCAAGGAGAGAGGGCGACAAACAAGAGGCCAACGAAAGAAAACACGGAGCAAGAAAAGAGGCGAGACGAAGCAGCAACAACGTCAAAGGGAAAACAAGGAGGGCCAAACAAAGACAACGACGACACGGGATAATAGAGCACCAAGGCAACAAAGAACACAAGCGCGCGGGGACACAAGGAGAGGCGCAAAAACAAGGGGGACCGGCGAACGCCGCGCCACCAGACCCGCCGACGCCGCCGGCGAACGCGCCAGCACAAAAACGCGCCCGGCGGCCGAGCGCCAACAGCGCCACGACGCGAACGCCCGCCGGGGGCGCCGCCGACGCGGGGGCGGCAACACGCGCGGACCGACAAGCGGAGGACACGCCGCAACGCGAGGACCAACAACCCCACAGCGAAAACACGGAAACGCCGGGCCAGAGCAAACGGGGCCCGGAGGCACCGGCCCACACGGGCGACAACCAACCGACGGAGCGGGAACCGGAGGCGCCAGCCGAACGGGGCCGGGAGAAGAAGAGGACACAACGCGAGCCGGAAAACGCGGGGGGCGGCGGGAAAGCAAAAGAACCACCACGCGCAACGCGCGGCCGAGCCAACGCAAGCGAACGCGGCGGAAGCGGCGGAACACGAAACAGAGCCGCGGCACACAGAGACGCAGCCGGGAGGGAACGAGGCGACGCACCGGCAACGCGGGGCGGGCCGCAGAAGGCAGACCGGCAACGAAACGCGCAACGGGGCAAGCGCGGGAGGCACCAACACCCGCGCGAAGCGCGCCAGCGCGAGGAACGGCGGGGGGACGCCACCACAGAGAGAGGGCCGGGCCGGCAGAGGAAGGAACGCAGCAAACAGGGCGGCGCGCACAGGCGCGGGGGAGAACCGGGCGCGCAGCCGGGCCGGGAGCGCGGGCCAAGCAAACCCAGGCGCGGCAAGAAAGGCCGGACGCGCGGGAACCCACCACAGAGCAGCGGCGGGGCAGAAGGAGAACGGGGCCAGGGCGACGCGCCGCGCGGCGGGACAACCCACCACGGGAAAAAGCGGAGCAAACACCCGGAGCCACGCGGCAAGGACGACAGGGGCGGCGGCACCAGCAAAGGAAGGCGGCCGAGGCCCGGACACGAAACGACCCACAGCGCGGGGCCCAACCGGAGGCGGAGGCGGCGCAGCGGGAGGGGGGGCAACAGAGCGGCACGGAGAGACGGCAGCGGCGGCGGCAACGGAGGGAGAGGCGGGGCGAGCGGCGCGGGGCGGGGGCGCGGGGGAGCGAGCGCGAGGACGAGGAGGCAGCGCACGGCGGCGACAACAACAAGGGGACCAAAAGAACAAGCAAGCAAGCAAGACAGAAAGCAACACACAGCGCACCGCGCAACCGAGAGCCGAAGCCGAACACGGAGCGGCGGAAGGGCGCGGAGAGGGCGCAAAACACACGGAAACACGGAGAAAGGCGAGACGCAACGCGGCCGAGGCCGCGAAACCAAGCGCAAAACCGAGGCGCGGAGACCAACGGGAACACCCCCCCAAAAAACAAGACCGAAAAACAAGGCGGAACACAGGCAGAGGAACACAAACACGAGCACAGCGGAAGAAAACGGAAACGGGAGAAAAGAAAGCCAAAACAGGGGGGGGAGGCCACGGCGACCACACCGGGGAAACGCGAAGGCGAACAAGCGGCAAGGGGAGCACGAGCCCAAAACAGCAAACGACAAACAGGCGAAAACCAGGGGCAGCGCAGGCCACAAAAACACAAGCGAAAGGGACAGGCGCGAAGCGACCGGCGCGAGACAGCGCGCGCGACGACGCAACACCGGAAAGAACACAAAGAGAAACAGCGGGGCGACGCCCGGGCAGCGAAGAAGGCGGGGAACCCACCAAGACCGGGAAGGAGCAGAAAGAGGGAGAGAGAAGAGAGAAAAACCAGGGCGAAACGGAAGACAGAGAGAGAAGGCAAAAGCCAAGAGCAAAAGACAACACAAGACGCACCACGCACAAGGAGAACACCGGGAACACAGCCCAACCACAAAGGGGAACCACACACAAGGAGAAAGACGCACCCAACGGCAACACAGGCCAAAACACCACAAGCCGCCGGGACGACACACGGCACGAGAGAAGAGACACGCACCACAACGGCGACACAAGCCCGCGGGACAGCACCCAGCACGAGGGGAGAGGCCGGCCGGAGGCCCGGGGCCAACCGGAGGGCGACCCCCAACCGGGGACCGGCAAAGCCAACCAGGACCGCCAGAAAGCCCCGGGACAGCCAAGGCCAACCGGAGGCCGCCGGGACCGGCGGCCCCCACCGAGAACCACCAACGAAAACCCACCAAGCACCGGCAACACAGGCCCGGAGAACACAAGGGGAGCCCCCAAGCACGGGGACCGCAAGCCACAACGCCAGAAGCACGGCACGGCCACCACGAGGACCGCGGCAAGACCGGGGGGACGAGCGGCCCAGACCACGAAGCGGGCAAGCCAGGGAGAGCCACACACGCACCACCACGCACACGAAGCAAGACAACGGAGGCAACGAAGGGAGGAAACACACGCAAGCAAGGAACGGGGCACCACCCAACAACAACAACGAGGAAGAACACAAGGGAGCAGCAACCAAACGGAAGGGACGAACAACACACACGCGAGCAGGAAGACAACGAACGAGCAGGCGGAGCAACGGGGAAACGCAAGAGAGGGCCGAGGAACACACAAGACACCGCGGGGGGCAACGAAACACAAAGGGGAACACGGAGCACGAAGCAAGACACCAAAGAGCCGACAGGGAGACCGACCAGAAAGCGCGAGACCGACGAAACAGCAAGAAGACGCGCAAAGAGGGCCACAAAGAACAACGGGAAGGCAAAAGAGCAACACCGAGACAAACGAAGCACGGGGAACAAAGCCCGAACCAACGCCACCGGGGCCCGCGGGGGACCCACGGGGAGGGCCCCACCCGGGGGCCGCCCGCGGGGACACGACCCACGAGGCGCGACACGGCCCGGGGGAGGCCGGCGGGGGGGGCCCCGCCGCCGGGCCGCCCGCGGGGACGGCCCGGGACCACAACAAAGCCCGGCGGGGAGGGCGCCGCCAAACACAAAGGCAAGGCCAAAACACACCAAAGCGCACAAACACAACAAAAAGGACGGGAACCAAGGAACAGGCCAAGCAAGGGCCACAAAGGAACCCGAAACACAAGCGCGAGAGAGGCAAGAGCACAAGAGAAAGGCAGTAAACGCGCACAGGGCAGAGCAAAACACAAAGGAGAAGCCAAGAAAGCAGAGAGAGGGAAGCAAAAAGAGGGGGGGGAGAGCAGGGGGACCGCTGGGAAGACCAAAAGACGCCGCGGACACCACAACAAGCGCGCCACGAAGCGCACGAGCCAAACCCACGGCAAGAGCAAACCAAAAGAGCAGAAGAGCCACCGGGAAGAAAAAAGACAACGAAGAGGGAACCAAAAAGACGAGACAAGCGGAGAGCGGACCCGGCGAGAGGCCCAAAGAGAGGAAAGAGGGAAGCGGGGAAGCAAAACGGGGAAGCGGGACAAAGGCGCACGGGGCGGGAAGAACAAGCGACGCGGCGGGGCGAGAGAGAAGGGAGAGAGAGGGGCGAGGAAGGGAAGGGAGGAAAAGGAAGAAGGCGGCGAGGGGAGGGACAAAACGAACGCGGGGGGAAAAGACAAGGAGACCCGGACGAACGCGGAGAAAGGGGAAGGAACAAGGGAACGCCGCGCAAAGCACAAGGGACAACACCACGGAAAGAGGGACGAGGCAAAGACGAGGCCGGGAGGAGCAAAAAGCAGGAGGGGAGGAAGTGTCAGCGTCGCGCCTGCTCCTTTTTTACCCCTGCCCCTCTTCCTGTTTCCTCCCCCTTACCTCCGTTGCGCCTCGCCCCTTACCCTTCCTTTCAGCCGCTGTTCCCTTTCCCTGGCCTCTCTGCCGCCCCGTTCAGTCACTGCCTACTCTTTTACCCCCCTCCCGCCTCTTTCCACTGTTCCCCCTGCGCACGTCCCTCTTCCCCTGCAGCCCGTTCCTTTTTCCCTTGCCCGCCCCTTCCTCTTTTCTTTTCTCCCCTTCTGCCATTCTTTGCCCACGTCTGTACACTTCCCGCCTCCTTTCGTGCTTCCCCTTACCCCCGTCGAGGCTTGCCCCCCCCCCGCTCCTCCCTTCCTGCTATCCGTTCCATTCCCGTCCCTTTCACTCTCCCCCCCCCCGTTGCGCATCCCGCCACGCGCGCGCCCTGCCGTCCCTCCTTGCCCTCTCTCCTGGCCTGCCCCCGTCTTGGACCCTCCTCCCTGCGCCCGCTGCACCTCGCCCCGCCGTCCCCCCTGCTTTTCCCCCCATTGCGCACTCCTGGTCTTGACCCTCTTCCACATCCTTCCTGCTGCCCACCGTCGGGTTTTGCCCGCGGTCTCGTTCCGTCGTTCCAGCCCGTGCACGGGCCCCACCCTCCCCCGCCCCTCGTTTGCCCACCCGCGCCGCTTCCGCCACTTCCCGCGCTCCCCTTTCTCCCTCGCCGTCCCGTGCCGCTGCCGGCGCGCGTTCCTTCCGTCCCACACGCGGCCGCATGGGTTTCCCCCCGCCCTTTTGCCGCGCTCGGCTTACTGTTTCAGTCCCTTGGCGCTCGCTGGTCCCGTTCCCCTTTTCTTGCCCCCTTACTCCCGCCCTGTCTTCTGGTTCTGGCCCGGCCGTTTCTCAACGGCCCTCGCTACCCTCTCCAGTGTTCCCCAGCCAGTTGTCTCCTCGCCTGCGCTCCCGCCCCTCTGGCCGCCTCCCCTCCCACGCTTTCTTCCGTCCGTCTTGTGGGGGCTTCCTACTCCCGTTGGCGCCCCTGTCGTGGCCTTTCCCCCTTCAGAGGGCTCTCCGACGCCTCCCTCTTGCGCGCTTGCTGCACCCATACTGGTGCTTCCTTTCTTCGCCCCCGCGCTGTGCCCTGCCTTTGCTTTTCGCCCTCCGCGGTTTCTGCCGCCTGAGCCGCTTGCGGCCCGACTGTTTTGGGCCGCTCCCCTGTCCCCCCCGCCTTTGCCCCTGCCTTTCGCGCTCGTTGTCCCTTTTGCTGCCCTCCCCCCCCCTTCTCTCCCTCTTCTCCTCCCCTTCTTGCGTCCGTTTCCTTCCTCTCCCCCCTTTCGCATTGCCTGCCTGTTGCCGCCCTGTCCGCTTTCGCCCGTTCACGTTTCTGCCCCGCGTTGCCCTCTCCCTCCGTGCCCCTTGTCGTTTATCCCCGCCTTTTCCACGCTTCCTGTCTCGCATCTTCATGCGGGCCTTTCCCGCTTCGCCCTCACTTCCCATCTGTGTGCTCTTTTTCCTCCTCTCTGCGTTCCTCTCCTTTCTTCAGCTGCCGGTCGTTTGCCCCCTGCCTCCTGTGCTGCCGCTTTTGTCTTGTCGGCCGCTCTGGTTTTTCCCCCCTTCCCGGCCGTTGCTCCACCCTCCCCCTGTCTCCCCTTCGGTGCTGGCCTCCTGTTGCCGCCGCCCTTGAGTTCTTCTGTTTGGCTCTTTTTGCCCCCTTTCCCCCGGCCCCTGGCGTCTGCCCCCCGCTCCTTTGTCCCCGCTCCCGCCCCGCTCTGCCCGTGCGCTTCCCCCCGTTTCCCGCCCGCCCGCCCTCGTTCTTGCCTGTGCCCCTCCTGTGTCCAGTTGGGCCCCCGGTGGGTCCTCCGCTGCCCCCGCATGCCGGCCTTTCGGCCCCCCCCTGCCCCTTCCTCGTGGTTGGCCTCCCTTTGCGACCCTCCTGCTTTTGCGCACGCCGTGGGGCGCGCGTCCTGGCCCACGTCCCCCTTTCGTCACCCCCCCTGCGTTTTCCCCCTCGTTTGCGGCTCGCCCGCCTTGCCCCCGCGTCTTTTCGCGCTGGCTTTCTGGCGCGCCTCCTCCGGCCAGCCTTCGTTTCCGCCCGGTGCGCACCTCCCCGTCCCCCGTTTTCCTGGGTCCCCCCTCCCCGCCTCGTTGCCTTCATGCTGCCCTTGCCCGTGCTTCTTCCTTCCCCGTCCCCCACCTGCCCCGCTCCCCCGTGCCCCCGGCCGGCTCCCTCCAGCTCTGCCGCGCCTCTGGGCTTGCCAGCCCGCTTCCCTCGTCTCACCATTCCTGTTTTCTTCTCCCGTTCCGGCCGCCACTCTGTGCCTCCTGTTCCCCCTGTCTTGGTGTTGCGTGCATTCGCGCCGCCGGTGGCCACCCGCGCCGGCGGGCCGGCGGCGGCGACCGTCGCGCGGCTCTCCCTTCTTTCCTCTCCCTCCTTGTCCCCCCCCCTTTTCCTCTCCCCCTTCTTCCCTTTCTTTTTCTTCCTTTCCCGCTTCGCCCCTCCTCCGGCGCCTTCCCTCCTCCCAGCCCCTGGGTGTTTCCGCCCCCGCGGCCCCCCCCACCCTCCGCCTGCTTCGGCCCTCCCTTTCCCCCTTGCCCCTCCCCCCGCTATGTCTTCGTCCCCCCTCCCTCCCCCTCCCATGTCTCCCTCCCTGCTCTCCTCTCGCTGGCTTCGCTCGCTCTCTGTCTCCCCTGCCTCTGCCCGCCCTGCCCCCGCGTTCCCAGCACCCGCGCCCCGGCCCCCCCTTCCGCCTCCGCTTGTCCGCTCTTCACCTCTCCTTCTTGCCATCCCTTGCTCACGTCCGCCCCGCCCTAGGTTTTCCTCTTTCGGCGCGGGCCCTTGTTCGGACCTCGCGCGCTCGCCGCCCTCTCTTCTCTTGCATTCCGGTTCTCTTGGCCCCCTCTGCCTCCTCCTTCCCCTTCCCTCCTCCCTTGTCTATCCTCTCCTTTCTCTTTGTCGGGCCCTCCCTCCTTCCCCGCTCCTCTACCTCTTCCTCTCTCTTCGGCGTTCTGGCCCCTTCCTCCTCTGTTCCGCCTATCCTCCGCCTCCCCACTATCTCTTCTTCGCTAAAAAAAAAAAATTCTCTCTCTCTCTCTTCTCTCTTCGGCCCCCCTCTTCTTCCTTCGGCCTCCCCTCCTCCTTTTTGCGTTTCGGCCGTCTTCGGTTCGCCTTGGCGCCCCGGCCTCCGCTTCCATTCGGCCCTTCGTGCCCCCTCTGGGCCTCCCCCCCCTTCCCTCCCCCCCCCCGCTCCGGTTCCTTCCTCCTTCCCCTTCTCCACGGCCTTGCGTCCTCCCCGGTGGCGCCCCCGCGCGTCTCGCCCTGCCACTGTGGGCCCTCGTGCCTCCGGCCCCCTCACTCCCTGCCCCCTTCCTGTTCTCCCCCCCCCCCCCTTTCCGGTGGCCCCGCTTCGCCCCCCCTTGCCCTGCGCTGTCCCCCGGCCGCTCCCTTCCCTCTCCGTGTCTGCTTACTTGCACCTGCCCCGTCGTGGCTCTTCCGTCCCTTGTTCCCCGTGCGTGCTTGCTCTTGCCCTCCTCGCGTTCGTTGCGTTTTGCCTTCCCCGCCCTCCTTCGCCCTGGCCTTCTCCCTGTCGTCTCTCTCCCTCTCGCCCTTTCCCTCTGTCCCGTCTCTCTCCCCCTCGCCCCCCCTTCGCCGGCTCTCGCGTCGGCCTGTTTTCTCCCGTCCTTTTTCCCTCGTCTTTCCGTGCCTGTCGCCTTCCCCCCCCCGGTGGTCCCTCTCTCCCTCCTTTCTTCCCTCCTTGGGTTTCACCCCCTCTCCCTTGCGTCTCCCGGGTCTTTCGCTTTTCCGCCTTGGTGCCCCTGGCTCTGCCCTGTTTCTTTTCCGCTCTCCCCCCCTCCCTATCTGCCCTCCCCCCCTTCGATCTTCCCCTGCGTCCCCGGCCTCGTGTCTGCCTCTCTGGTCTTCTCTTGCCATTCTCGCCCCTCTTTTGCCGCGCCCCCCGCTGGCCGTTTCTGTGCCTCCCCTGCCTTCGGACCCGCCGGTGACCTGCGCCCCACCCCCCCTGGCCCGTATTGCCGTCGCGTTTCTCCCCCTCGGCTCTGGCTTGCCCCTCTCGCCTCTGCCCTCCGCTTTCCCTCGTTGCTCTGGCCCGCCTGCTTGTTTGGTTGCCTTTCCCTGCTCATTCGCCGCCCCCCCCTCGTGCCCCGTCTCTCCTCGTTGCTTTGGCTCCTCCCCGCCCTTTCCGTTTGCCCTCCCCTCCCCTTCTCGTCCGCGCTGGGCGCCCTTTCTCGTTTCCCGCCCCCGTCTCTGTGCCTCTTCCGGCTCGCCGTCCTCTTCCGTGCTCCCCCGCGGGGCCCTTGGTTCTGTGTGTCTCGCCTCCGCTTTTCTTCCCCGCGTCCCTGCGCCTCTCGGGTCGTCTCGTTCCTTGGGCCCCTTCCCCTCCCCCTTCTCTTCGCCTCCTCTTCTTGTGCCCCCCTCGCCTTCCCGTTCTTTTGCCCCGTTTCCCCTCGGCCTCGTTCCGGGTCTTTGCCGGCGTCCCCTCCTCCTTGCCCTATCTTTCGCCGTTTCTCCGTGTCGTGCCCTTGCGCCCCCGCTCCCTCTTTCCGGTTTTTGCCTTGTGTTATCTCCCCCGTCTTCCTTCGCTTCCCCCCCATCCTTCCTGTCACCTTGTCGCCCCCGCGTATCTTTTGCTTGTCTTTCTCGCCCTCCCTCTTGGCGCTCACCTTCCCCTCTGCCTCTCCTCGCGGCCCCTCCTCCCCCTCTCGCCTCTTTCTTTCGTGTCCCCCGGCCGGCCCTCTGCCCCTGTTCGCTGGCTCCCCCCTGTCCGCCGGCGTTGTGCCCTTTTTCCTCCTGCTTTGCGGCCGCTTGTTTTCCCGCCCCTTCCCGCCCTCTTGGTCCTCCCTCTTTTTCCGTCTTGTCCTGGACTCCCCCCTCCGGGAGGTTGTTTGTGCCCCCCCCCCATCCCCCCTCCCCCCTTCCTGCCTTCACTTCTCATTTCCTTCTCTTTCTTGCGGCCTTGCTTCTTCCCA